TATCGCAAAATTTTTTTTTTGCCGCAATATTGCTGGATTTTGTGTCAAATTTTTTTTTTGCAGAATGTCGATATTTTTAATGCTGAGTGGCAGCAATCGTAAATAATTCGTCAATATTTTTATTATTAAATTTTGTCAAATTCGGCAAAAATTCAGCAGCCGAATGACATAATTTCGACTAATGTAAAATAATATTGGATTAAAAAAGTATAAGAAGTAGCAACAAATTCAACTTTGAATCAATTTCAAAAGTTTTTGAAAGTAGAAGGTTCTTGGGATAAACAACAAATTAAACAAAAGTTGTCAATATAAGAAGAATAAATTTGATTGATGTTAATGTTTGGATATGTTTTGTGGAAAGTATCATGTATATTATTAACAATAAAGTGGTTTTTTAAACTATTCATATAACAAAATTCAAATCTTTTGCTAAACTTTGGATTTCTGAATCACTTTTCTAATGAATACTTCCAATACTGAACAAGGTTTCCTTATTGTTTCCAGAGAATAGTTACAGAGTAGTGAATCTCACAGTTACCATCAATTTGTCAACCTATCCAATAATCTTCAAATCTGATAAATAGATAGGACAATTATAGTAGTAATTCACTTTAAGTTGAGGAAGAATATCTCATAGTATATTAAAGTTGATAATTCAAGAATAGTATAGGTTATACAAATATATTTAAAGAGGCTTTGGATGATTTGGTTTAATTAAAAAGTTTATTAAAGATATATAATGTCAAGGATAAGAAAATTCGGTAGATAAAACCTTGGGTCAACTGCTTTGGACAGCTGGCCTTTATATACTATATATAATTAAATATTAATTATTTGATGATCAAAGTAATCAAAGTGACCAAATCTGTTAAATTTTCCAAATTAGGTCAATATGCAAAATTTGCTCACTTGAATAACCTGCTAGTTAAATATAGATAAGATATGAATATTAAATAATAAAATTAAATAATGTGTACTACATCAATTACTACTTTGCCCTAATAATTGGATTTACTCTATGAATCAATGAGACACACCTTATATTATATATGTTATATAATCTAAAAATAGAACTAAAGTAATACAATAGACAAGAACTATAGAGAAAAATATAACTAATAATTAAGGCTAACATTATTGTAAATTAGCTTGTTTTTGCTTTTTTTTTTTTCTAAAAGCAAAATGATTTAGGGATATTTATCTTCTATATTAAATAAAACTCTTTTTCTATTGTTATAAAGTAGATTTTATTACCTAGAAGTGTTTGGTTATATCTTTTGAGGCTTACTATTGTATAGAAGAGTAAAGATTCTTTTTTTTAAAAAATTATTATAAAAGAAAATTTTTGAAAAAAATTATTTGTGATAAAAAGAGTTTTTTTTTTATTTTAAATTATATATTTACTATATATAAATCAAATAGATTAATAATATATTTTTTTAATTTTATAAAATATTTAAAATTACTTTTTTTAAAAAAAAATCAATAATGATATTATTATTAATTATTAAATTTAATTTTGCTAAATAAAATTCTTTTAAAATGTTTTATAAAATCAAGTGTTATCTCTATTGCAAATATATTATATAGTATATTGCTCTATAATATTTATAAATAAACTTTTTGTTGTTTTTAAAATTATAACTTTTTATAAAAATGTTTTTATACTTTACTTTTAGAAATTATTAAAATAATCAGAGTCAATTTAGATAAATCATTTATATTAATATTTTTAATATTAATATTATTATAACTAGTTAAACTGTTGCTTTTATTATATAAAAATTAAATATTATCAAATAAGTTTTTATATTCTATTTTTAAAAAGAAATGATTTGATAAAAGTAAAGAATACAATAGAAGTAATTAATTATGAAATTATAATATCACAAAGAAATAATGTATTAAAAATTTTTTAAAAAAAAAATTATTAAAATTATTAAAAAATCATAAAAATTCTTAAGAAAAGAAAAACAAGTATTAAAAATTTTTAACTCATTTATTAATATTATTTAAAAAAAAAAAGATCAAAAATTTTTTATTTTAGTTTATTAGATAGTTTGCTACAAATAAAATAAAATAATTATATAATAATTTATATATAGTAATCTAAATTTGATTTAAATCTAACCAGATTTATAAAAAAAAATAATAAATAAATAATTATTATTATATTACTTGAAGAAAAATTCAATTTCTATTAAGTAGTCACTAAAATAATAATAAAACCTATCATATTACAAATAAACTTAATTTAATTTATTTACTAATCTGCGATCAGATGAAAGACAGAGGTTCTAGTACCAATATATGAGGGGAGTGAAATATTGTTCCCTAAACCTGACTAGTTGAGACTTTATTTCGTTTAATCCTAACTAGCTTAGTGAACTCCTCATATTTTGTAATTCTTTAACTAATAATGTACAAGGGTGAGTTAATATTGTAGATGTTTATCAATAAAAGACACGCCATGATGACATGATTGCGGATTAAAAAAGAAAAAATCAACCAAACCAAATAGTAAAATATATTTATGCACATGATTTAATTTGCTACTTATTTTAGAAGTCTTTATACATAGCATGTATACATTAATAATACGCATGCACATATTGCATTGTACTGTATATGTACGTACGTACGTCCGTATATCAATTTTCGAAAGGCGCGCATCAATACTCATTCCGGGGTGACAATTTTGGGACCCGAAAACTTCTTGTCCGCCTTTACCATATCCGAGTTTATCCATTTACACCTATTTGTAAGGTAATGCGACCACTCGCCGATTATCCACACCATAACAATACAAGGAGACTTTATTGCAAACATCATATAACATCATAATTCTTTGGAATACTAACTTATGACATCTTATCCACGGGTCCGTAATGTCCATACCATCGTCCCTCCTTGAAACCCCAAGCTTCGTAGAACCAGTTCTTATAAATATCTTGTGCTTGAGTCCAGCTGAGTGCCTGTTTCCACGTCTGGTTCTTTTCTTGCATAACCCAACATCCTTGGAAGAGCTCCTTTTTCGTAATTAGACCCGCTGTTGTCGAATTTCGAATGACCCAGAGCTTTGGAAATTTATCTTTGTAGAAATACAAATTCTCGACATTTTTAAAAGCTTCGACACTCTTTAGCCGATGTATAATTATGGACTCATCGGGAAAGCGGGGGTCCGCATTCTGTTCGTCGATACCGAAATCATGGAAGGGATTTTCACGAAAGTTACGAAACAAATCTGATGGCCAGCCACGATGAGTGTAACCAACATAATGAACTAAATATTTTTTTTCCTTTGCTACCTTGCAAATCCAGCGGCCTACCATATTATCCTCATTCCCCACCGCATTCGAGCGAACCCAGCTTGAGTTGACGATATCCATGACGAGGTCACGAGAGATCGTATAACCCATACCTATGAAAAAAGCCAATCAAAAGTACTTGACACATCCAAGCATTCGTAACAAACAAATAGAATAAGACATACCCCACATTAATACGTCCGGGTCACTTTTGGGTACAGTGAAATTTAGCGCCATGCCATAATATGCGCGTTCTCTTGGCACATCTTGAAGGTCACGATAATAATGAATAAGGTGGATGAAGCTATCGTCGTCCGCCTTCACTACATAATCGTCCTTTCTCTAAACGTGTTGGAAACAAAGAATGTCTGAGCGCATACATTCATCGTCATAAAAGAAACTCATAGCAAAGAACATTTACATTCTCGGCAAACCAATCTAAAAATTTTAGTGTCTTTCCATTATTCATGTTCTCGGTGATATTTAATATAACTATATCACCATGCTTCTTAGACTCTCTCTCCAATTTTGATACATATTTACCCCGTGGCAGTCCCGTAATAAACCTAATTGTTACAGGCGACTTTTTGACTCCGAGATACCGTGCCAGGGCAGCATTGTTATGTGCAAACATCTTGCGTAAGTGTCTTCTCATGCTGATCTTCTTGTCGACGGTCATGATCCCAATGAAGACCGACAAGTTTCGGTCAACGCCCGGAGGAGGTTCAACGTAGGTGTCATCTACTTTGAGCGGTGCGGGGGGCACCTGTTCTTTTGTTTTCACTGGAAGCGGTATGGAGGACACCTGTTCTTCTGTTTCCACTGGGTGCGGCATGGAGGACACCTGTTCTTTTGTTTCCACCGAGAGCGGCGCATTACAATTTTCAAAATAAAATGAGAAAGAGTAATAGCTAATACAGAAGCTAAAGAGAAATATAAGAAAGAATGAGGTCAAGAACACTTTATAATTTTGAAGGGATGCCATGATTTCCGTTTCAAAGTTCACTCGATTAAACCTTCTACTCTATACGAGGAGAACTCGGAAAGAGAATTTTCTATCATTTAAGCTTGTACAACCGGCCAATCTTGACTATAAAAATTGTGTCAATTGGTCATCTTCTCTAATTATAGATGACCTTGTTTTTATTAAAAACAATAAATGATCAATAGCAAAATAAACAATTTCTGTTTTAGTTTCTAAGTACAGTCTATTTGCTTGCCGTTGGGATCATATATAAAATTTTTTTTAAAAAAAAAATATGCAAATAGACTGAATTTTATTAAGAATTTTTTTTTACACTTGGGAACAATTTTAATCAAGCTTGGCTTATGCAAATAGACAAAAAATACGCATTTACGCAACTCGCCAAGCCACCGGGTGTTTTTAAGCCAAACTCTCGAACAGCCAGCAGGTGATTTTAAGTATGATCAATGATGTGATGTTTAGGCGCAAACGATAAACACGATAAACATTAAATAATTAACTTCCGAATGATAATTGATGCAAAAAAAGTTATTCCGACAAGAACTATTTTGACAGTTTACAATAGAGATTTTCTTTATTTTTTACTTATTGAAATAACATCCGATCCAAACCCCTTCGGGGCATATCTAATACTTACGTCTGATTAACTTCCTTTTCTTTGGTTCAATTGCCCAACTTTTTCGACCTTCTCGTGACCCGATGTGCGGTCGTTTCGATGATGTCGATGATCGTCACGATAACCATTACGATAACCGTCACGATAATCACGTCCACCTTTTCGTTCTCTATTAGCTTCAACTTCATCGGACTCGTAGTCACTTGGTAATGCCTCACATTGGACATGATGTTCTTCCCTCTCGCCTACAATTTTTATTTCGCGTGTGCAAAAAATGAAGAGCATGAATGATCTATAGTGACGGAACCTTCTCAAAAGAGCACTGATTTTCACCATTGGACTCGGGACTTTCAAATCCTAAATCATCGGGTAAAGGAAAGAATTCGGTCTTCGGAGCGGCCAAGTTCTCATCTCCTTTCAAAATGTCAGAGGAGGTTTCCTTAGAAGGTTGTCGTGGAAGCGAGTGAATCAGAGAGAACAAGGTAAAAAGGAGTAGGACGAAGGCGACTTTGGAATGCATCTTTTCCCAGTATTCACTTGAAGCGGTTGCGTATATCTCGGGTAAAGAAGGCCCTCCTTTATATATTTTTATTTATATACAGTATATACATATATTTCGATGCTAAACGTTTGCAGCATACTTTTCACTACATCGTAACTTTTGGTGATGCCAAATACAGTATATCTTTGTGAGCAAGGAAAATTATCTTGCAGTATATGGAAACAGCAATTTCTCGTTTGAAATTTCATTTAAATTCATGCAAACCATGAATTTGTCAAAGTTTTTTTTTTTTTTAAAAAAAAAAAAAAAAATTAAATTAAATTAAATTAAAAAATACTATTCACAACTCGACTCGTAGAGTAGAATAAATTTGACGTGTTATCTTTCACTTTTAAAACCTTTTAAACCCGAGTTCGATGAATGACAGATGTCAGTTTATTTAATGGGATTCATTTACAGTATCTCTGTAAAGATATGATCAGCTGATTGGAATTCACCTACTAAATCTTAATGTGGCAGGCGGATCACAAATCGTGATTCATTCCATAATCATGCAATCATTTTCTCTCGAACTCTTTCCAAATCATGGACTCGTTCATATGCTTCTATTTCGCGGCGTAAAGAATTCGGCGGATCTACGAAAACGACTATTATCTCATGATCAAGAGTTGGCATATGCTTTCGTCGACGCTCGAGTGGTATTTAGAGTCCTTTCGCAAATATTGATTGAACGCCGCGGGCAGAGCAGGGAAATGGATATTCCAACCTCCACATCATATCAGAATTCTTTAAAATTCTTAACAAGCAAGCTCATCCCGACCTTTGAAACACAAAAAAAAAAGACTTAATGAGAGCAATTTCTGATTTTAATTCCACCCTCATGAATAAAATTAGGTGCTTGACACATTTCAATTGCTGGTTGCCACCAACAACGCTTTACATAGCGACAACAATTCAACGCTAAAGACTCACAATGTGCATTCGGAAATTGTTTATAATCTTTCGCCCACCGTAAATGTAAGTTGCTCTTCACTATTGATTCTGTTGAACATTGATCTAATCCAGGAACAATGAACATAGATTAGCGAATCGTTGAGAAGATTCGGAATCTCGGATGGCACAAAGGATATTGTTGTGATCAAAGTTGGCGGCGAGGCAGATGAGGTAGGCGCAGTTCGCATTCTTCCTCCTTTCGACTCTTTGTCATTGTCGTCGCTTAAAGCATCACTTTTAAAAAAAGGTTAGATCACATTTGAATTCATTGATTCTGGGTACGGAATCTTCTTTGGAGGAATTTCAAAGATGCGTGGATATTGAAAGCATCAGAAAGGTGAGCAATACCATCATGATATTTACATAATAATAATTTATTGATCCCACTAATCACTCGCAATGTAGTATTACAAGATTGACTCCAAGATTAAAGACCAGAATGAAATGTTAAACATCATTGTCGGATCCATAGCCATCAAGCTTGTTAATTAAGTGTTAAAGATTTTTGCCGAAGTTTATTTGTTAAAAAATCGATTCGGAAGAAAAGAATTGAGTGATGCATTGTACAAGGGGGCGCCCGTTGAAATTTTGAATTATGAGAATAGAATATCACAGAATATCACAGAATATCACAGGAAGGCGACCCTCGATAATAAAACTTGTATCGCTCCGGAACTCTAAATAAATACGACGAATATTCGAATTTTCCTCGGATCTTTGCAATTAAATACTTCAAGTTCCAAGAAAACTGATGGTAATCTTGATCCAAAATCCCGATCACTATTTTTATTCGGTTTTTCCTTTGCCACCATCTTTTTTAGTATTGGCCGAGTCATCTTTCTCCAATGCCACAAAATTTCTGGTCATCAGGTTGAACATGCTGCCAAAAAACAAAGCGATAACAGTGCAAGTCAATGTGATAACATTGTACGGCATACTGAAGTCGGGCGTGGGTAAACTGACCAAAAGTGTCTCGGTGTATATTCTAATCGGAAAATATAGGCACCCTACAACTCCCGACAAATTATTATTACCGCCGCCGTCGTTATTGACGATACATTTCCTGTGGTGTGATTTTCGGTGTGATTCCGAGGTGAAGTCCGTAGGCCAACGCGTGAGCATATAGTGGAACGTGAAAAACACCGAACACAACGCCTACCTAGCGCTCACATAATCTAAATCATCAACCATTTGTGGCGAAATGGTTGACACCACCGCGGATCCAATGTCGAAGCCCCTATTGGCATCCGGTGGGTATTCGGTATACTTCAGAAAGACCTTATCAAAATTGATCGATAAAGTTGTCAAAGAGTTGGGCGGTAATGATACCTCGGCTTCAATTACGTGTGGCCGGGAACGATCCACTGCCGGTTGATAAAAAAGGTCCTTGATTGGATGCTCTAATTCAACGTACATATATGTATGCATGCGTTTGTATCACTAGATAGATCCTTCTTGTCGGATAAACTGATAAATTGAATTACCTATGTCGGAAATAATGTCCTTTCCATTAACCTGGACTTTAAGCGTGTGCAAATACAATCTCAAGTACCACGGGATGACATCATAATATATAATTGGAATTGAGGAGTTCGGACTTTTGTTAAAAATGTTTATTTTTATTCCACCTCTTTCTTGACCGTAACCTATTGGAAAGATGAAAGTGCGGGTAAGAATGAATCATCCGATCCTCTTGAAAATCACACGCCACATTATCTTGCCTGTAAAGTAACGATGAGCAAATACGAGTGGCGTCGTGGGGTCAAAGTCTAAAAAAATAAAAATAAAAATATATAACAATAATAAAACGCAAGATCAATAATGTATGTTGGCAAAATGTCACAACCCTTCGCAACAAGAAGTACCATAATCAAACTTTTCTTCGTCCCACGTCATTGAAATTTCTGTACCGGGTTGCACTAAAAGAAAAGAAACGAAAGAGAAAATGTTCTTTAACACCCTTGCGATCAATGAATCTAAAACCAAGTAAACCAAGCAATTCTTAGTCATCGCGCCTCACCCCTCTTTAAATCATATACAGCAATCCTTTCGTTCGTGTCACCATCGATGGCACTTGTGATGGCATCCGCATCCGGACTTATCTTATAACCAACATCACCTCCGGGCAATATTACTTCAAGTTTACTTTCCTCGGCCAATGGACATGCTTGCGTGAGTTTATGACCAAAGACTTCGCTCAATGACCAATCTTGATGGCAAAATAATCTTAGAACACATTTTCGAAATGATCCAACGTAAAATGCAATGAGGAAACAAATTCGACTTTGTCGCTGACCTCTCTTTCCCGACCTCCTGACGGGATCAACAACCGTGGATACAGTTTGCAGCAATTCCAATTGTTGGTTTGTGCACTCAGGATCCTGATGTGAGAGGGAGAGATCATATATGATTACGCCTCGATAAGAATTTTCAGATGCCAACGTCGTCACATCAATACCTCACATAACGGTCGGACATGAATTGACATTGAATGAAAATTGGAGTTGTACAACTTATGCCCGTTCAAAAGAGAAGCGATACCGGACTTTCGACAGCAAGGGGAAAATGTTATCAACTTCATTAATTAGATGAAAAATTATGGACAAAAGGTTGGGCATCCCTACCGTGGCTTTACAAGGCAAGAGCTTGATCCAAGGCGTTAAATTTTCGGTGCAAACATTTTCATGTGGTAGAGAACCGTGCCTCAATTCGGCGCGTTCAAACAACTCGGAAGCTAGAAAACGGAATCAACATCAAATTCGGTCCCAAACGCGCGCACGTAAACAAACAGATTTAAAATCTGACCGTTATAAGACCCTTCGGGTCGAAATGATAGCTTTGGCCGAACGGTGACGGTATCATCTATGAAATTTAGAGAGGCGCAAAAGAGACCCGCAAGGGCGTTCGTCAGTGATTTCCAGTTTGCATCCAACCTAACAATGAAAATGCATCGGCATTGGTGAATAAGGTGTTGGCGTTTTTTCAAAAAAAATGAAAATTTACCCAATGAAAATGGAACATGCTCAATCATTCACACACTTTCCGTCCTTCCAAAGCCACGCCCAAAGTTCAACTCCTGTTCCGGCCGACGGTACCACCGGATATCCCCATTCCTCATAATTCCATCGACCTTGAGTGAATGTCAGGTGCAACTCCCGAGCGTTATAACTCTGTACGATTTGCCCAATCGTCCTCGGAAAAAAATTATAGTGTTTCACTAGCAAACAACACCAATCGATTTTTAGGTTAAAAAAGGTTTCCAAAGACACCTGGATAAATCAAGAAATTGTCTCGTACGCGACGTTCCCTCCTTGCCTCTCGCGAGTCTCACACTGAACTGAAGGTGAGTCAATAATTTTCCATCCGAAAGAGGTTTTATGGTCAATGTTTCCTTGAATTTTTCATAAGGTTTCACTGTCTCGGCAAGCGCAAACGTTATCGACGACACCGCAAAAACTAAGCCAAAAAGCAAACGGCCGCTTTTCCAAGTTGGCCGCATCGAAGTCTTATTAATGTGTCGGATGCGTATTTACTATAATGAGAAAATTTTACAGAGCAAGTACAGTAGATCACATCCGGTGGAATTTTGGTCGAATTAATTCCGTTTTAAACTGATTGTTGCAGGAAATAGGGTAAACGGCTGTCGGATACCGCTTGCACTGCCTCAATCTCGCCCGCTTGTCAGCAATGAGGTTGAATGCTTGCGTCCACAAAATGACGCCCATGATGGCATTCAATCAGCATGCGAAACAGAGCAGCTCCATTGCGACGCAAAATTTTAAAAGTACCATAGAGTCAAGCCTCAAATGGTTTAGAAAGCAGGACGACTTTATAATAGAATGTCGTCTTCTCAAGACATCTCAACACGGTACCATTCGTCGAAGTTACAGCTCAAAGGCAGAAGAGAGTGGTGACAATCGAAAACAAAAGGAGAGCGACAACAACTGCGTGAATAAGTTAGCAACGCCTCCGAAACAGAATTCGCTAAACCCCGAAACCATAAGAACTTCCAAGTTACTCGGCCAATTCTATAGCTCTTTAACTCAACGCGATCTCCCCAATACCTGGAGAGCATACGAAGAACTTATTCGCGAATCAAAAATTCAATATCTAACTCGGAACGACTTCAGGCATGTAATTGAACTGATCACGCAGAATGCATCGGAGAGATCAGAAAACTTTCGTCGTCTTACGATAGTAATCGACGACATGAAATCGCGTCAATTCAACATAGCGCGATACGACTTTCACGCGATCATTTCTTATTTCGCACGTTCCGGTCACCGCATCGGACGAAGGGATGTCATAAGAGCCTTATCGATGTTTTATATAATGAAAAATTTGGCGGAGGTGCGACCAAACATTACGACCTATAACGTTATGTTTAATATTGCCGTCAAGGCTTCTCAGTTTGAAATCGCGCTACGATTAATTCACGACATGACCAAACAAGGCTTGAAACCCGGTGTGAAAATATTCACCTCGCTCATTCACAATCTTGCGACAAAATGCGAATTTGCCAAACTGACGAGAACTCTGGATCTGATGTCGAAATTTGGAATAAGTCCGGACTCCCATACGTGGAACACCGTGATCTGGGCTCACATGAAGTCGGGAGATCTAAAATCCGCCATGTCCGTATACTCGAAAATGATCTCTCAAGTGAAGAAACCAAAGATGATCGAACAACATGCCGAATGTCTGCCCACCCTTCCCACCTATCACACCCTCTTGCCGGCGAACATAGCACGGGAAGAGTGGGAAAGCGCGAGGAGGCTGTACGACGATATGAAATTCTTCAATGTAAATCCAACCACCGAAAGTTACAACGTCATTTTTTGTAAATTTGCATCCGTATTGAGGGAACATCAAAATTTGATGTTGGGCGAACGAGAGCGTGGGACCATCAAAGATCTCGTGGATTACATATTTGAGGATATGAAAAAACGCGAGCAAGTCATTCCCGCACCCATAACATTTAATTATTTATTGTACTCTTATTTACAATTAGGCGATTTTAAGAAAGCTTCTGAAATATTTCAAGTAATGAAAAATAACAATTGGAGGATTAATAAAGTACTTTTCAGTGATCTCCAAAATTCAACCTTCACAGCCAATTGATGTTTAACCAATCACCGAGCAATGAACATTTTCCGGATTTTAATTTAAAATGCCGCACGTGCATACCAGTGCACATTTGGTAAAATCGATATGCAATGTCGCACAAACTCATTAAATTTTGAATCGGCGAATTGACATACTGTAGAAAGGGTTTCGCTCATGAGCACCGAATTATAATGTTCAAAACGTCGACTTACACCCTACCCGTAGCGGGGACGCCGCGAACAAGAAATTTAATAAGCAGACTTATGAAAATAAGGCTTCTTAAAACACTGTTCCTGGGTTACCTCACGTTTTCTGCAATCTTTCTGTCTTTACAAACTGTAAAATACCTCTTAAGCGATAGGACAAACATAAGTACGCCAAAGCCGTTAAAGAGACCATATGGTAGGTTAAAATATGTGGTGGTTTAAAGCGCAACTTCTAACGAGTGCTTCTTTTTTTCTGATGCTTCTCCAAGATACCAACCATAGATCACCGATATCGGAAATGGAGGAAAGGTTTTGCTTTGCAAAGATGCATTCTAAAGTCCCACGGCTGTACAGCAAAGGTCTCTATCAATTTTATTTTCGCGGCGAGTTAACACCACAAGAAGGCGATATAACCGTCACCACATTCGTTACCAAGAATGATTACGAAGATTTAATCAGATTAGCCGAGACATGGCAAGGTAGTCAGTCAATCCCAATGTTCCCGACGATCGAATCATCCAATCAACATTATTTATCGTATTTTTTAACCTCGATTCTCAGGTCCCATATCAGCTGTCTTACACGTGCCCACAAAAACCCTAAGTGATCAAGATCCCGAAATACTCGATGTACTTTCGACCTTTAGTGAACTTTCTCAACAAAATCCATCCCTTAGACGTCACGTTGACATTCATCTTGTTACAGGACCAGTCTCACCGGCCAATATGACCGCAATCCCCGAGCCCACCAACTTCCACCTGAATGTTGCGCGTCTCTTTGCCCGAACGGAATATGTGCTTTTCCTCGATCGAGACACGTGGCCATCACTACAGACTCGCTCTCACATTGAAAAGCACACGAAGCTGCTTTTAAAAGACGACGTATTAATTTTGCCAACCCTTGCCTACACCGAAAATGCAACCAATCATGATTTTCCGAGAAGCACCAAAGAATTGATGGAATTGGTTCGGGATAATGTGATCGGAATAAAAGATCATGGATGGTCACTGAATGAAGGCCCCACTGATTACAAAAATTGGCTCAAAATGGAGAAATATGCCATATCAAGATATAACTTGCATTATCAACCAAATTTCGTGATAAGGAAGGCAGGCAACATCCCTTGGTAATTGATTTCGATTTGATCAAAGAATGGTTAACAACCTTTTCCCGAAGTTAACATATTTTCACGCGTTACAAAGGTGCACCGAAAGATTTGACAACTTTGAAAATAGTAAGTCCGCATGCCTATTGCAAATGTATTTCAACGGCGCGAATTTATGGGTCGTACCTGAGGCCTATTTAATGAACTTTCGTTACAACAATGATTCTCGAAGCTCGCCACCGCAACAAAAATGGGAGGTCAGTGAAGTGACGAAACGATCCCCTTTCTTTTTTCGTAATGACATCTTTTTGTTAAGTAGAAACTTTTTATCCCTTTTATACATTTTACAGAAAAAAATAAAGAGCCGCATATATACCAACTTTTATCGAGAGACATGCATACATTACGCTCGAATATTGTTTTCCCTGGGCATGTGGAATAAACCAAGAGCGAAGAATGTCAAGAAACAGTGTGCGAGAATAATAACAAATTTAGGTTTCGGAATGATTGAATAGCTCAATAATGTTGGGCGAACATGTATAAACCAACCGGATAGGAGGCAAGTGTGTCGGGGAAAGGTTATTTTTGGAAAATATTGTAGGTTAATCTGTCTATCACGTTTAAAATATCTCGGAAAAAGGACTGTCTAAGATAAACTTTCTCTTAAATTTAATTTTGAATAAAACTTCTCTCCGCGGATTAGATTATTATTATAGGGTATTATTAAAATATAATAAATAATAGTAATTAAATTAAAAAAAAAAAAAAGGAATTTTTTAATAGCAAATTAAATATGAATTTTCAGATAATTTAATAAACTAGATTTAAAGTTCAACTTAATCCATGATTTAATTAGCATTTAATTACCAAATAATCTCTATTAAATAAATTAATGACTTTTTTTTTTGGTGCTGACTTACTTTATTGGCTTCTAATATTTGAATGCGATTATGCATATATAGAACCACACGATCAAAAACTCGTGTTATCCTAATTCTAAAATGATTTCATATGTGATGCAAATGGAGTTATTATTAATAGAAAAAATCCAATCAATTGTTTTATAATCTATTATACAGTATAATTGTATTTTATGAATTTTCTTTAACCGATTTTTTTTTTAAAAAAAATTTACATTTGATTTGATTTATTATTATTGTTGTCATTGTCACTTTCAACAAAAGTTGAAAAAGTGTATAGAAAAATTAAAAGTAATCTGGTTTATTTAAAACAAAAAAAGTTTAAAAAAAATTTTTTTTTATATTGTAATAAAATTTCGGATTTCTAATTATGTTAAGTTATTTAAATTAAAATAGTATACTATTTTTTTTTTAAAAAAAAAAATCAAAAAGATATATTAAAGAATACAAATCATATAATGTTAAATATAAATTATATTTTTGAAAATATAATCTTTATACATATGACATAATAATACAGTATATACAATTTCATTTTACTATATCAAAAAAAAACTTTATTTTAAAAAATCAAATTTCATAATAACAATTATTTTAAATGTTTTTGGTAATTGTTAAATTAAATCCATCTTCATTATTCTATTACAATAAAATTAAAGAATTTTGATTTGATAATTATTGTAAAATATATAGTTAATAATTATTGAATCTAAAACAATTTATATATAGTCAAAAAAATATAACAAATCTAAATTATATACATATAAAATTTAATACAATTTAAAAAAAATTTAATAAAATAAATATATCCAAAATTTATATTATATACTGTATATATATTATATAAATTAATTTTTATTACTAATTTTTTAAAATTATAATATGAAATTTTATACTTTAATATTAATAAAAAAATTTTTTTTAAAAAACTCTTTTTACTAATCCTCTGATTATATATAAAAAAATGTTTACAAAATATTTTTTTTGCTTTTTTTGCTAAAAAGTCTTAACCACTTTCCTAAAAATCTCTTAAAGTATAATTTTAAAAATCACATCTATCTTTCTTTATCTGTTTACAATTTTTTTTGATCAAATACTTGACTTCTGGTAATCAAAAACAAGTCAAGTAACATCTTTGATACCAATGACAAGAAAGCTCTCAAAGGAAAAAGAATCAATAGTAAAATATCTGGAAGCCTTCTTCACTTTTAAAATGAAAAGTATATAGAGGTTTTTAATAATAGAAGAGTTTATTTTTTTTCTTTCCAGTCACTTGCTGACCTCTTAGAACTATTATTTTCACAATTTTCTAGAAAATTTTATTTATCTCAGTTTGATCCTAAATTTTGGATAGTACAAATCCTCATCAAAAATGATTAATTAATACAAAACATGTTGGTTATAAGAAAAGTAAACAAGCTTCTATTGGTTATACTCATATATCCTATTATATTATAAATAATATCAACTCTTTCTACTAATTCTCTAACCATATATAAAAAAATATTTGCAAGAAATTATTATACTTCCTTGTTAAAGAAGCTTTAATATTTTTCTTAAATTAATTTGAGAATAAATTCAAGAGTTGCTTCCACACTTCCCTCTCTCTTGTAAACATTTTTCTTCATATGAAAACATGATTTTTATTGACTCAAGCCATAAAATATCTTTCTTATCAATAGTAAGAAAGTTTTGAAAAGAAAAAAAACTGAAGTACTTTGATTCTTTTACTTAGCAGAGAAACACTATAAAGCAATACTTATAATAAGAGACTTCTTAGAACATATCTATCTACTCTCTTGTCATGGTAGTAGCTTTAATAGTGCTCATTCTTGATTTTTTCTGAGAAAATTTGCCTACCTCAGTTTGACCTAAATTTTGAGTAGCACAAAGTTTCTCATATAATAATTGAATAAAAGAATATATATCAGTAAAAAAATGTAAACAAGCTTCTATTGGTCATCTCATATATTTCAAATATTTTTTTAACTCTATAAGAACCTAGAATTTATCATAAGTCATTTCTGTTTGATACAGATAAATATAGAACACATTTCTATACAAGTTATTGACTATCTTCAAAAAGAGTCTATTCAATTATAGTAAAGGTTACAAGATGCTGTGCCTAGTTTTTTGAAAATATAGTCGCTTATATCTGGTCACTATATAGGTTCTTCCCAACTCTATTGAATAGGTAAAGATTTGAAAATAAGATACTGATTTCTCTATCTATTTTTTGACTTAACTTTTAAGATATAGAAAATGGAATATATAAATAGTGGCCTTTACTGTATTGTTATATAAGACAATAAGGATCAAAGAAAATAACCTGTGAATTGATCTACTAGTATTAATACATATATCCCTATCCTCGACTCCTTCTTATTTTTAAATGGAATTGAATTCACCTTTCCTTCTTCTATAATTCTCAAGAAAGTAAATCAATAGTTTATCCTAAAGATTTCTCCTTTTCTACTAAGCATTAGAATTTTATTTCTGTATATAATTCACACTGATATTTTGCAAACTTTTATAAAGAAGCACAAGTTGATTATCAAAGACAATAGCTAGGATTCCCATATTTTTCAAGAATATAGATAAAGATACTTGAAACATAATTGATATTACACAAAAATTATTGGGAAATCTGAAATATGATCAAATAATACACTAGTGTTTTCACTATCATATATGAATAGGTATTTGACACTACTTGAGAAGTTTTAATAAATACCTTGAACAAAATTTTCTTCCTCTTGTATAAATTGTATAACAAAGAATTGTATATATAGATTAACTATCCAATCTACTTATTTATTTTCTGATCTTCTTTCTTTCTTCCTCTCAAAATTTTTTCAATACTAGTGGTCTTTTGTTAGTTCTCACTTTAGATAACAACATATCTAAGGATAATCAGTATAGTCATATCATTAGCTTTATAGGTTTACAATTATATTTTTAATATATATTATATCTATATTTAAAAACTATATTCAATAAAGTAAAGGCTGAGCTGGTGATAATATATATATATATATATATTATATTTTTTTTTAAATTATAACTATGTATTAGATATAAGACTTTATAAATATTAAGTTATAATCATTACATTAATTATCTTATATAAATTATGTACTTTTATATATATACTGATTAATAATAATTTATTATAACTAATCTACATAAACTAGTTTACACTTCAAGAATTGAAAGACTTAGTTAGAAACTATTAGGAAATTTTTGAAAAATTCTTCAAAACACTTTCAAAATTTTCAAAAATTTGTAAAATAAAAATGATTTTATTAATTTTAATAATAAAAACTTCAAATATTTTTTATTTCAAAAAATATCAAAAATATTTAAAGTAATAATATGTATATTAAAATAAATAATTATTTAAACATTTAACTTAAAATAATTTAATTATCAGATTATTTTGATATAACATTTCAAAGTTTTTTGAAAATCCTCCGAAAATATTGAAAACCTCCAGAATATTTTTAATGCAACTAATAATTGATCAATGATATAAGAAATATTTTACATTGTTATAAGATAATATGCAAGTTTTGAAATAATTTAAATTCAGCTATTTTATATTATTTATGAATTTATATTCTTGTTGAATATTTTTTGGCAAATGACTAATCGATAAACTAGAATGTTTTTTAAAAACTCTTTCCCACTTCCCCTACTTCATGAAAATTTCCTTTTTGAGAAGCTTTCTTTTTTCCTTCTCACCTTCTTTACTTAATGTGAGGCTACCAATTATGCAGCAAACAAAGTCTGAAATGTGCTAATATTATATGAGGCTCTATTATCTCATTTGTTGATGCATAGAAGGTATTATGTCTAGGGAAGCATGAGTGGACCTGCACTCTGTACATGGCAAATATCTAAGACAAAAGTAGCGGTCTTTTGGGAAGGAGACACTCCTGGAACAAGGCTTTGTATATGCCTGAGTCGTCATAGACAATAATACCTTTATTCTTCTTAGTTTTACCTAATACCTTAAACTTTCTCCACCTCTTCTTTCTTTCTCTATTTATTCTTACTCCTTGCTTTTTATTCTTCCTATCAACAGATAGTTTTTCCTTTTTCA